TCAGGCGGGGCCCCGTTCCAGCAATAAAATGGTAGTATAGGTATCGGCGAGTACCAAAAAATAGGGCACCTATACCATTTTGAGAGCAAAAACTATTGTCACCCATTCCAGGAAGGCAATAAAAAGTTCTACTGGATTCACTTTGCGTTAGTCTTTTTCCTGCTTCACAAAGGTAGGAAGCTGCTTGACAAACCATGATGACAATTATTTAGTTGTATGCAGTTCTTCATATAGACACACATCAATTTCAAACTGATGGTATCGGTATTGGCCGATACTACACAGCCAGGTATCGGGTATCAGTATCGGGGCCAAAAAATTGGCGCAACACTTTCTGATAAACCTATATTCTTGGCATCCTGATTAGTGAACTTCTGGTTTGCGTCCAGTGAGTTGCTGTGGTTGTTGAAAGCTTCTTTGGATTGGATTTTGACCCACATGTCATCCTGATATATTTTTGTGAAGTACATCAATGTAGACTTGTTGCCGCCGGATCAGAAGGGTCCTTGTCGGTCGATAACAGAGATACTTGGGCAGTAAACCAAGCATTTGCTGTCATTAACAAGCTGTTGATGAGCTTAATCCTGCTGCTGCCGTGTGTGTGGTGTGTGGTTTTAGATGATGGTAGTGGGATGTTGATAAGGAGATTAGCCAATTATCTTATCGTCCTCATCATCTTGCGCTCACGCCCTTTCACTCGGTCTCAATATGGACCCTCTTAAGTTTCTGTGAGCTTGATTTGAAAAGCAGATGGACGGTATTTGTCTTCTGAGCTGGATTGAATAGTGAGAATGAGAAGACAAAGAAGGGGGACAGTTGGGGAAGAGTTGAAGACAGAAAATACTTTGTTGACTTTTTTTACACAATTCAAACAATAGAATCAATTATTGATGTAAAACAAGTGTCAGTTAAAAATCATTAAAGTCGTAGGGAAACCATATTTAAATGTTAAATCATTCTGGCTTAAACATGTATATAAATTTACTCTTTATCAGACCATATTGTCGCAAATTTTTTTTTCTATTTAAAAAAATAATCCTTGCTGTTTTTTCTCGTTATCTTCTGAAGGCCAGTCAGCTATACGTTAGCCTGA